TCTGAGGCCTGGATTTTGGTTTCCATAAGCCATGTAATTTCTAGGTGAGTGGGCCGCCTCTAACTCCAGCTCCAGAAAGACAAAATGAAGGATCCCCAGAGGAAGGGAGGTACCAAAATAACCCTATTCAAGTAATACAATTTGATTGGGAGATACTGTCTTTGTGAATAAGCTTGAAGAACAATTGATGACTTGCAGACCCCACATGCATGCACACACGTATACACACACATCTGCAAACATTCATATACACATACGCACAACACACAGACACACAAATGAAATCAATACCCAGAAGTATTTGTGTCTGTTGCTATCATCACGGCCTGCCCTTCCCAACTGCACTGAGAACGATCAGCCTTCTCTCCCTCCCTTTCTCCCTCTGACAGATTGACACATGGCATTCCAAGGGTGCCCCTCCTCACCTGTGACCAATATTAGAAGTGCATCACTGTGTGGCAACATTACGTTGACTCCACTGCATTCGCAGAAGTAGTATCCGGAATCACTCTCCTCCAAACCAACCAGTCGGAAACGAATCCAACCCGGAACTCCCCATCTTGAACGTAATTTAGGTGACAACGCTCTCGATGTAAGTGGTGCAGCAGTATCCAAATCAGTGCTACGCCTTTGAATACCACACGAGTATTTCATCAAATTAAAACACTGCAATGTCACATTGCCCCCGGGGGGAACCACAGAGCTGGGCCAGACACTGATGACCGGCTTGGATAAGGACTCTGAAAGAAAAGAAATCCCAGAGCTCCATATGACATGTCGTCCTGTTCCCTGGGAACCATTTAAAACAAGGGATGAATCCGTTTGAACACTTGGGTTGGAGGACCAAGGGGGGGCGGGGGCTTGATTGAAGAGACACTTACCGTCCCCATTTATGTCTGCTTGCCCAGCACACAGTCCTGTAAGAGAAAGACTCATGGGACACAGGGCCCGCCTGAAGCTCCCTCATCGCCCTCCCCGGTCCCAAGAATCCACTGCTGAGCTCAGACTCTGGCTTGACTTATTCAGGCCTTTCTGTGTTTCCCATACGTTTCTGGCTCCCCAAAAGCCCACATCCTCCCTGTACAAGTCTGTAATTCAGCACTGGGGGACTCAGGGAGCTTGCTAGCCAGTCAGCCTTCTGAAAGAGGAAGCTTTGGTGTCAATGAGAAATCTAAAAAACTAGAGAGAGAACAAGGAAAGATACTTAGTGCCCTCCTTGGGCACTAAGATACTTGTGCCACACACACACACACACACACACACACACACACACACACACACACCACATACAACAAATACAAAAAAAAAGGTTGTAAATGTCATGTTCATTTGGCAGAAAGACACTGACAGGCTCAGAACCTACTGATTTGGAAGGAAGAGGAAAATGTGTGTAAGCCCTGGACACATTCCCCTCATGCGATGTGTGTTCAGCAGTGAAATTTATTCACTTATTCTTCAACATCCTAGCCTCCCCACTGGCCTCGCCAACTCCAGCTGCCTCCACAATCCGCCCACCCCCACAAACAGCCCCGCTCCCCCTTAGACTTACCAAGGCAGAGCAAGAGCAAGAGTTGGGAGTTCATGATGCCCCGAGGTAACATGCTTTTCCAAGAATGCTTCTTCAGCTCGACACTCCTGTTGCATGTGTTTAATTCTGGGACCAGCAGTAATGACCTTCCTTCAGTTTTTAATCTTCAGAGCTAGCCCACAGAGTCTGTTTCTTGATAGTAATCAAGACGTGATCATTGTGTAATATCACACCACTTCCTACTGGCTTGGGTCACATAGAGCTCTCGACACAAGGAAGGAATTCAGACCACTTACTTCTAAGCTCATTTGTGCATTCTGCCCAATTTTCTGAGAAAATGCTAAATGAAATATGAATTAGTACTTCCCCTGACTCTTTTTTTTTTGGTTTGGTTTGTTTCAGTAGAAAATCTTTTATTTATTGTGTGATAATTTCATACATGTAAACAATACATCACTAATAAATCCATCCGCACTTCAACCTACACCCCAATATTTCCTGATCCCCACTTTGTGTTCTCCCCCCATCTTTGCAACCTCTTGTGTTTGACTAGTTTTGTGTCAACTTTACACAAGCTTGAGTCATCTGAGAGGAGCGAGCCTCAGTTGACAAAATGCCTCCCTGAGATTGGACTATGTGAGCCAGCCTGTGGAACATTTTCTTAATTAGTGACTGATGGGGGAGGGATCAGCACATTGTAGACAGAGCCACCCTGTAGTGATATATTATTTATGATTTATTAAAGCTTGACTGAGGATTCAGAAAAACAAGAGGGATCAGCACATTGTAGACAGAGCCACCCTGTAGTGATATATTATTTGTGATTTATTAAAGCTTGACTGAGGATTCAGAAAAACAAAGTCAGACTCAAGCTATGGAGATCAGGCAGTGGTGACACACACCTTTAATCCCAGCAGCCAGAAGCTAGGAGGTCCTGGCACACACCTTTAATCCTAGGACTCGGGATTAAGAGGTAGATAGATCGCCGTGAGTCCAAGGCCACCCAGATCTACACAAGAGTGAGTCAGTCTAAAAGAGAATTGTAGCTCACGCCTTTAGTCCCAACGTTAGGGAAGCAAGGTCTCAGTAGAGGAATTCATTCTCCAGCCATGCTGAGGAGAGGCAGCAGTCTGAGGCTTGATGAGAGCTTGTGGAGACCAGGTTAGCCCATTGAACATGAGGTAGAGGTAAGATGCTGGTGGTCAGCCGCTTTGCTTTTCTGATCTTCAGCTTGAAGTTTGAACCCCAATATCAGTCTCTGTGTCTTTTATTAATTCATGTTAAACCATCCCTTGAACAGGAGGTCTAGGTTCTATAAGCAAGGAGGCTGAGCTAGCCGCGAGGAGGAAGCCAGTAAGCAGCTCCCTTCCATGGCTCCTTCCTCCACTCCAGCCTCCGGATCCCAGCCTGGTTTGAGTTAATGCCTTGGCTTCAATCAAAGAACTGTGACCTGAGATACGTAAGCCAAAGAAACCTTTTCCTCCTCAAGTTGCTTTTGGTCCTGGTGTTTCATCACAGCAATAGTAACCCTAAGACACCCACTGAGTCTGGTTGCTGCCAAATGTTGGAATGTGGACTGTTCTTGTGGGCTTGATTTTGTTAGATCCACACTGCAGTGGGTTCATGGCATGCAACAGCAATCCCATGTCCTGAAGATAGCAGTTCATAGCACTCCTGCCTGTCTGTTGGCTCTTACATTCATTCCTGTTCTCTTCCTTTGTGTTCCTTGAGCCTTGATGGTGGTGGGAGTGATATAGATGTCTCTTTTAGGACACTAAATAGTCATTTATCTTCAGCATTTTTTTTTCCAGACAGGGTTTCTCTGCGGCTTTGGAGCCTATCCTGGAACTAGCTCTTGTAGACCAGGCTGGTCTTGAACTCACACAGTAAACATGAATATCTAGAAGGAAGTTTATTTCTTTTTTATTTACTTTTTTCCTGCAGATTTTTTATTTGAATTAGAAACAAGATTGTTTTACATGACAATCCCAGTTCCCTTCTCCCGCCCCCCCGCCCCACTAAAACCCTACCTATCACATATCCTTTCTGCTCCCCCTGGAAGGTGAGGCCTTCCGTAGGCCATCACAGTCTATCATATCCTTTGGGATAGGTCCTAGGCCCACCCCTGTGTGTCTTGGCTCAGGGAGTATAAACTTCTTCTTCTTCTTTTTTAAGACATGGTTTCTCTGTCCTGGAACTAGCTCTTGTAGACCAGGCTGGTCTCGAACTCACAGAGATCCTCCAGCCTCTGCCTCCCGAGTGCTGGGACTAAAGGCATGCACCCCACCTCCATATAAGGAAGTTTACTTAACAAAACAACAGTTATAGTTTACACTCTTGGATCTGGGACCTCTTGAACCATGGACTTTTGACCAGATTTATGGTACCAGACATGAATTCCTTCTTGTGGTGCAGGGTCGAATCTCACCTAAAATAAATGGTTACTTCCGTAACCTCTGTGCCATTATTGTACAAGTATTGTATTGTGGCAAGCAGGACTCATGACTGGGCACGACCACTGATGGTTTTTCCCCCTCAGAAGCCTGAATAGCACCTTCCAGTACTACAAACTTCCAGGACAAAAGAAGTTTCCACAGTTGTATGACACAATAAAAGCTTCTGACGCTATTGAACTATTTTTTTTTTTTAAAAAGGAGTTTCCAGTTCTAGCCTGATTTCTCTGTACTCTACCTCCAAAGTATGTTTGTTGTGTCTTCAGCAATAGGTATTACCATCTGGTTCTGGTGGGCCACTAAGAGCAACTACTGTCCCCTTAGGTGTGGTGACAGAATTCAACTGGACCTGTAGCGAACCCAGAAGTGGGTATGCAGTCCTCATAGTTCAGTGTTCTTGTCAACAAGATTCATGTGGAGATACGTATGTAAAATTTCTTGGGCAGTGCTCATTACCAAATGGGACTTTTAAGTTACTGACCAGCTGCCTCGATTTCCTTGCTGTGATTGACTGTACCTTCGGACTGTGAGTCAAAATAAACCCTTGCTTGAGGTGCTTTGGTCAGGGTCATTTGTCTCAGCAAAGAAGAAAGTAACTGCTATGGCCAGAGCCAGGATGTGCAGTAGACAACGGCACCCAGGTTTTAATACTGTATTGATTCATTCATTTATTCTGTGTGTGTTGGATGGGGGGATTGTGCAAGTTACGGCCCGTGTGTGGAAGTCAGAGCACTGAGCAGGCGTTAGTTCGTTCCTCTTATATAGATCTTATTAGGGAGCTCAATTCAGCTGGCTTGGCAATGAGTACCCTTATTTCTGTGTACATACACAGCATGGTTACACAGTGACTGAATCACCTAACCACTCTCTTCCCATATAGCTCCTGTTATTGAACAAAACATGTCTATACTTTGGGATCCATTTCTTACTGCAGTCTAGATTTTTGTTCATTTTTTTCATATAGAGTTTCATATAGAGTTTCTCTGTATAGCCTTTCCTGTCCTGGAACTGGCTCTGTAGAACACACTCAGAGATCTGCCTTGCTATGTTTCTTGAGTGCTGGGGTTTAAGGCTTTTACCACCACCACCAGGCTTTTAAATAAATCTTTAAAAGCTACTATCCCTCTTCCAATCTAGAGAATACTGGAATTTTACTTTTAAGATATATTGGTCTAAAGGAAAGTCTAGGTTCTTCTCTTGGAAAAGGAGACATGATTGACAATGAGGAGAGGGTATCTCAGATTGTATGTATATAACCTTTGTAGTTTAAGTGGAGCTCATGACGCCATAGAGACCTCATCCAGTAAGTGATGGAGCTAGACACAGAGATCCACAACCAAGAACCAGGCTGAGCTCCAGGAATTCAGTCAAAGAGAGGGAGGAGGGAATATAAGAGCAGTGGAGGCCAAGATCATGATGGAGAAATCTACACAGACACCTGAACCAAGCTCATGGAAACCCATGAACACTTGATCTACAACTGTGGAGACTCCAGGGAACCAAACTAGGCCCTCTGTCTGTGCGAGACAGTTGTGAAGCTTGGACTATCAGAGGGGCCCCTGGCAATAGGACCATCATACAAACCTGGTACATGAGCTATCTTTTTGAGGCCCATTTGCTTTGGTGGGATGCCATGCTCAGTCTTAACTCATTGGAGAGGACCTGGCCCTGCCCAACCTACTGTGCCAGGCTGTGTAGACCCCTCATGGGAGCCCTTACCTGTGAGGAGGAGTGGCCTGAGAGTGGGCTATGGAAGAGGTGAAGGGGTGTGGGAGGGAGAACTGTGGTTGGAATGCAAGATGAAATTTAAAAAAAAATTAAAAAGTGGAGCTCATGAATTGGGGAAATCGGACACCTAAGAAGTTAGAAGATGGAGAAGAGGCATGATGGAATGTAGTGCCTATGTATGACGTTATCAGAAAGAAAACATTAAACT